TACATTTAGCTCGGCTTTGGGTAAGCAGAACTATATGTACAGCGGGAAGCCTCCGCTTGTTTTCTACAAGACATCCCGGGAATGCCGCCGAAATCACTTGTATGCAGCCTGCAGGTCTGCCATTCTCCATGGAGGCGGGGGGGGTTGGCGAGTAGGGGGGCGCATTGAGGAACCTGGCCTTGAGGCAGCAGAGAGAGTAAATCCGGTCCTGGTCCTAACCAGGGGCGTAAGTACAAATCACAGGGCCCCATAGCAAAATTTTGTATGGGGCCCCGTGATTGCTAGTTGCAGAGCCCCAGCGGAGAGTGACCCTGCAGAGCCCACCATAGACTCTCTATAGTGGGCTCTGCAGGGTCTGAGATCTCTTACCTGTCAGCGCATCTGTGGTCGCCGGGCCCCAACTCCTGTTCCGTCCCGGAGCCCCGCCTCCTCTGCTATCGACGGGCCCCGGCCTTCTCTTACATCACTGGTCACTGGCCAGTGATGTAAGAGGAGGCGGGCCCCGCCTCCATTCCGAACATAGCCCTCGTCTGCCGCAGCGGCTGGCTGTCCGCAGTGGCTATGAGGGAAATGCGCCGTGGCCGCTGCTGAGCTGTGTCTGTGACAGCCAGCACCCCCACATGCCATAGCGACCCAGGCGGCCCTGTGCCCGGGCCCCCTGTGCCCGGCCCCCATAGCGGCCGCCTGGGTCGCTATGGCGATTGTTACGCCACTGGTCCTAACCCTTACAATTATTATGATTTATAATGATCTATATAGCGCCATATACAGTTTGCAGAGCGCTTTACACTATAAATCATTTAGAAAACCAAAACATCTTCAATATTATGTAAACAGGAGAAACTACACAATGTTATAAAAGAAATACATGACCGGCAATCGTGAAACATGTTTTTACCAGTGTGCACCAGACCCGGAGTATTAAATGCAAAGATTACAAATACACAATGATAAAGAAACACAATCTCATACATTCTATAAACAGTTTACAAAACAAGATCGCCGCAAAGATACTCGCTGCAAAACAAAGGGTCCCGAAACAACAAAGTAAAAGATATAGAACATCAATAGTCTGGTGTGTGTACATAAGACCACGGCGATGATACATTTCTATGGCTCATCACTTATGTTGAATGAATGATTGATATTGATCCCATTTGTATTACTGTTTGTGATGTGGAATGTCTGTATGTTGAATTTTTCCTTGTTCTTTCCTCTAAATTAAAATTACACTAAACTCAGGATCTTAAAAAAAACCTTTAAGTACCTTCAAGTATAATTAAAGTGACATTAAACCCTCAGATTTTTTAACATAAACCAATACTGTAATGTGCGTCTTACTGTAATCCATGGTAGTTTCCCTTCTCTTTGCTGCTCTTCCTTTTAAATCCTCTTGTCTTCTCATGCTTGGGGAGAACTTCTGTTTTGCAGCAGACTGCCTTGTCTCTGAAAGGGATACATGGTGTCTGTGTATAGGTCCACAACCTGAGCCAGCACTACAGGAAGAGGCCCTGAGCTGAAAAGGGAAGTTTTTCCCAAGCATGAGAAGACATGAGGATTTAAAAGGAAGAGCAGCAGAGAGAAGGGAAACAACCATGGATTACAGTAAGGCGCACATTACAGTATTGGTTTATGTTAAAAAATCAGAGGGTTTAATGTCACTTTAAACTCTCTCTTTTTTTTTTTTTTTGCTTTTGCAGTATCTACATATTGCTAGCAATAGATATATGCAAAAACATAAAAAAAATAAAAAAAAGTTACCAAAAAGATAATGACTTACCTGTGTCTCCGCCGCTCGCTCCCGTCCGAAGATCTGAAGATTCTCGAGCGGCCAAGCAGCATGATGGGGCGGGGGCGGGCGCAGTAGAGATCTGCGCCCGGGAGAAGAGGAGAGACACAAGGTAAGTCAATGCACGCGCACAGACTCTGTGAGACACAGAAGACACAGCAGTCAGTGCTGGATCAGAGACCGGCACCAGCGCTGGAGGGACAGCTGAAAAGAATAGTAAAGAAGAAAATGATCGGATCAAGAGACATCTTTTAAAGTAAAGAAATAATGTCACCAGCACACCATAAAAGTAATTTTAGCAAATAGTCCATTTAATGACACATTGCCATTCAATGCAAGCGCTTTCGGGCCCTCAAGGGGTCCCCTTCATCAGTCTCATTCTGAGCCTTGAGCCTTGAGGCCCCGAAAGCGCTTGCATTGAATGGCAATGTGTCATTAAATGGACTATTTGCTAAAATTACTTTTATGGTGTGCTGGTGACATTATTTCTTTACTTTAAAAGATGTCTCTTGATCCGATCATTTTCTTCTTTACTATTCTTTTCAGCTGTCCCTCCAGCGCTGGTGCGGGTCTCAGATCCAGCGCCGACTCCTCTGTCCTCCTCTTCTCTCATGTCCCATGTCTGTGCGGGTGCACGCTGCTCCATAGACTTACCTTGTGTCTCTCCTCGTCTCCCGGCCGAACATCTGAAGTGCGCATGCGCTCGCCCCAAGATCCTTTGCGGCCGCCCAAGACTCTTCAGATGTTCGGACGGGAGCGTGCGGCGAAGACACAGGTAAGTATTAACCCTTTTAAAAAGTTTTTTTTAAATTTTTGTTTTTGCATATATCTACTGCTTGCTAGCCATAGATATACAGGTGAAACTCGAATAATTAGAATATCGTGCACTAAGATTTAACTCCTAAATTTAGTGTCACTTTAATAAAAATGAGATTAAACTCAATAACATGAATATCATCAATGTTATTGAGGCATAAGGGAAGACACTCCATAAATGCTCCACACGTTCTGTTGCTGGTACAGCAATTCATCAGGAGAACTTCTGCTTATAGTCTCCACTGCAGACATATGTGATATGATGACAACAAGAGAGAACGACTGTGAACCAGAGACAGAGCGTTGTCATCTCATAACAGGAAGTACCTGAACAAGGACAATGGTGAGAGGCACCAGGAATCATTTTAAGGAAAGTTGCAGATTTCACAATATTGAAGACTACTTCTGATATTACATTGACTTGGTGAAGATCGTGTGAGATTGTCATGATTGGATTTTGATCCTTTCACAGGGGATGTGTGTGATAGCTGTTAGCTGGGCGGGGGGGGGGGTCATCTGTTATACGTTATATTAAGGCCTTGTTGGAAAAAAAAGTTTGAGTGTTGTTGATTTTCATGACTCATCGCTTGTTTTAACCTCTTATGTTGTGAAGCTTTTTATTTCAATCCTGTTTGCATGCCATGCAAAAGACCTCTGACGCCACACCCGGGGATGTGCAGAGTTTCCAGGATTTGTAATCGTGTAAAGAGGACCTGTCATTAGAGAAGTATGTAGGCTGCCGCTGAGAGGTTCCGTTTCAAAAGGAAAGAATATAATTGGCTATTAACATGTATACGTAATAATTCCAGAGACTGATGATCCCGGGAAGATCCTATTCTCCTAGTGGATCAGGAAATCAATTTTTCCCTTTTTGGAACAAATTGGGTCATGCGTAATCAGGGATTATATTTTGCCTTGCTCTTAGTTGTGGGTACAGGGTTCTGTATATGGAGGTTTTCTATTTATTTATTTTCTATTGGTGGAGCCCGATGGACTTTTTCAGTGTTCCTAAATATGTAACTACATAAAATGTTACGTCCCTGGCTGTTGTTCTGACCCATTGACTCCAAAAGGGCTCAGTTAAAAATTTCTCTGTGTGGAAGCAGTGGTCTCTCTGCAAAGGTCCAACACACTCCCTGATGAGTCAGAGCTACACCTCTGCAATCAGCTGGGGGTATGAGGTTTTCTGAATAGAGAGCTTTAGCTGTGACTCAGCAAGGGCGGTACTGGACCTCCACGGTGAGACCACTGCTTACCCACAGAGAGCTTATTAAATGAGACCATTGGATTTAGAGGGGAGGGGAGTCAATGGTCCTTCTCTGCAGCATGCTGGAAGGGGGCAGGCTTTTCTACTCAGGCTGTGGCTGCTTTCCAAAAAAATTACCTGTCAGGCCTCATTCTCATGATGTGTTCTGGCATTCCTGAGGGGGGAACCTATTCCTGCCGCAGGAATGCCAAGTGTCCCATTTAGATGCAAATCCATTGGTTCCTGCTGCTAGAATCCCACGTCGCCCCATGTGAATGGGGCCCAGACTCTGTACATCCTTCATTGTGATGTACCGGGAATGTATTTAGATGCGGAATGGACAACGCTGCCTCAACGCACATGGGTTTACAGCTAGGGTTGCCACCTTTTCTTCCAGCGAAGGGTCCGGTCTAAAGGTGGCCATACACCTGTCGATTATCGTATGATAATCGCGGGTGATCCCGCGATCGTGCGATAATCGGCAGGTGCATGGAAGGCGTGTGACCGTTTCTACTGTACGGTCGCACGTCTTTTGTCTTCCGAGCAGGCTTGAAAACCTGTCAAAAATTGTAAGATTTTTGGCGGGTTAGTGGCGTGCTCAGAAGACAAATGCCGAATGGGCACACTGCCCGCTCAGCATTGCATTCCTCAGTGGGGCGGGCTTGCGATGATCGCAAGTACGATCTGCCTGTCCAAGATGGGCAGATCGTACAAGATTTTAATTACCTTACAACCATTGCACAACGAAAGTCGTGCGATGGTTGTAAGGTGTATGGCCAGCCTAAGAGCAAGCCAGCCTGAAAATCGGGTGGGTATAACTTTGTTTTTTTTGGAACCTAGACAAAAGAACGAACACTTAACCCTTGCAATGCTGGGGTGAACCCAGCCTTACTAAAGGAGTAAAGCATGTTCAGTTAGCAAAATTGTTTTTCACAAAGCTTAGTGAATGAAGAGAAGCAAAAATCCACTTTGCAAGGAATACCCAATAATGTGCCAGGACAATGAGGAACAAAAACAAGATGCATTGGAAGGTTGAGACCCATCCAGCAGGGAAAGGGTTACCCTCAGGACCTGCAATGACAAGACTGACCCAGCAGGGGGTGCTCCTGCCATGCAGCCATTGTTTGACATTTGGAGTTGAGGAGGGAGTGTAAGAAGCTCTTGAAAAATTCACAGCCAACACCTAAATCCTGACTTGTGGACTAGCCAGACCATAAACACACAGAGAAGCAGGAGAAAGAGGCAGAAGGAACTCAGGTAAGGAAGGGGGGAAGGGATCAGTGTGGTTTTGAGGGGTGTATTGGGGGAAAATGCTTATTTATTGCGACATTTAAAGCACATGCACCAGCCGTCAGGTCACATGGCCATGTGTGTTTATTAAAAAACCTTTAAGGGGGGG